ATGTGTCAAATATTTAATCACAATCCAAATTCAGAGCTGTATCAAGCTTGAATGTTGTGTCCATACTTGCCACAACTGTTCAGGGTTCGACCTCTGCGGTCGTATTAAGCTGCGCCCAGCGAAGCATTTTATTCTAGTTTCAAGACAATAACTTGTGGAACGATGTATCATGTATGGATCTCTCTGAAATTATACCACAAGTTTCCACACCTCAAACATGTCAAAGGGATGCTTATAATTGGCTTTGGTGGTGGTGGTGGGGGAGGGGGGTATGGCTCAAACCGTTTAAGAATTAGGGGCAAAAAAGGGGGAAAATGGTTAAAGGACAATGTTGTGTTTGAATTACCTCCCTTACACTGCTTTTAGATTTTGTATAAAAAAATGTTGTATTGTCTTGAGGTGATTATCTGTCAATTTATTTTTAGAAATTACTATTAAAAATGATGATTAAGGTATATTAATTTTAGCCATGATTTTGTATGTCATCTTCTATTTTAAGACTTTTATGATGTATTTAAATGGATAATGATCATGATTATGGTTGTAAACTCCAAATTTGAATTGAGATTATGACCATATCTTGAGGGAAAGTTTTTTATTTCTTTTGAAAAAAAGGGAAGAGAAAAAAGAAATTATGGGAGGACAATTTTTTCTCCTAAAGATTTCAGAAAAAAAAAATTTCTTCTTACATTTTTTTCTTTTGCCAAAAAAAAAGGGTGGAGTGGTAAAAAAAAATCCCAACAGCATTGTGTATTGCACAAAAGCAATATAAAATTGAATATCAATTCAAATCATATAACCAATTTTTAGTTCTTTGACTACAGTTATTCTGTATCAGAAACCTATAGTGTGTCAAATATTTAATTACAATCCAAATTCAGACCTTTATCAAGGGCTAATATTGAATGTGTCCATTTTTGCCCCAACTGTTCAGGGTTAGACCTCTGCAGTCGTACCCAGCTGCGCTCAGTCAAGCAATTTTTTTTTTTTAAACATGTTAAAGTAAAGCAAAATAATTCTCCCGAAAAAAAGCACCCTCCCTCTTTATGATTAGTACCTAAGTTGGGGCTGAAGTTTGGAAAAGAGGCCTGACTGCCAGACGACAAACAGCAAACAGTGGACACAGTATTTTCGATGTACAAAAGACGACAACGTTCACAAAATGATGGCACTGAATATTTTCAATTACCATAAGATACCCTATCATCATTCCTATGCATTTATTTACATATTTGATATAACTCCTTTAGGAATATGAAGCTCACCTCCGGGTGCAAGAGTTTCTCGCTGCATTGACGACCTATTGGTGGCCTTCGGTCTCTTTGACACATTCCCCATTTCCATTCTCAATTTTATATATGTATATAAAAAAGAAGATGTGGTATAATTGCCAATGAGACAACTTTCCACAAGACACCAAATGACACAGAAATTAATAACTATAGGTCAACAACTATAGGTCAAGATACGGCCTTCAACAATGAGCAAAGCTCATACCGCATAGTCAGCTATTATAGATAGATAGATACTTTATTCTCTAAAAACTAAATACAAGTTTACAGAGAAACATACAATATAAATGCAGATACAATAGATAAGGTAAACAAATACAGTAAGATATTTTAAAAGTACAAAATTATGATGGCATACATGTTTAGTAACATGTATAATTAAAGGTTGAACTCAATAGAAAGGAAAAAAGATCAGTAAGATGCTTATGCGATTACATTTACATGGAGGGACACACTTTTTTTATTAATACACTTAATAAATAAACAGTTTTCTTAAGACAGATTGTTTTTTACTATCATGACTATTAAATAGTGAGCAAAATGAAATTATATTTGGAATGGACTATTTGAAAATTTAGTTTGTAGAAATAATTGTCTTTCGTTCTTCGAATGCGAACAGCAAAACAACTAATGAATGTATGTGCTGATAAAAGTTTTATTTGTTTGACGTTTGAAGTTCTGGATGGTCTAGTATTAAATTCTATGTGAGTACTCACAGTTTCTAAAAGTTATTTCAAAGCCAATATCAACTTATAAAATCATGTATCTGCTTAAGTTAGATTGATATGAACTGCTTGTGATAGAACTATGAAATTTATAAAGTTGTATTAATATCAAAACATATCAATTTGAAGACTTTTTGAATTTGGAAACGCCAAAGTCCAGGGGTTTTCAATTAAATACCAATTTTCAATGTAAAGTGTTCTGCTAGAAGCTACTAAAGAGAGACAATGACTATTTGGAGGTCATTTCCCAGTTCCTTGTCCTGTAACTTTTAAATAAATCAGCAATGTTGCTGTTAATCAGATTGTCTTTTTTGAATTTTCTGCAGACAGGCGAGACATTTATCTGTGTCAACAATTAAATAAACGATGTATGCAAATGTTATTGACGTTTAGTAACATTCTTTTCTTATTTAGGATAAACACCAATGAGACAGCATAAACTTCTTGCACATGTCATATAATTATATATATATATATGGTATTGAACCATATGGTAGAACTATCCTCAGGCGTCCCTAACATGAAGATGTCATATATTTAATCCTGGTATCTATGATGAGTTTATATAGTATTGAGGTAGAACTAACCTATTAAATATGTAGATCTAGCCATATACATGAACAAGTAAAAAGTAGAAATACCTTAACGTCATGTAGATGTCATATACAGTATTGAAGAAGAACTAACCTAACATGTAGATGTCATACAGAGTATTGAAGTAGAACTACTCTAACATGTAGATGTCATATAAAGTAGTGAAGTAGAACTACTATAACATGTAGATGACATATACAGTATTGAAGTAGAACTAACCTAACATGTAGATGTCATGCATTATAAGTATTGAAGTAGAACTACTCTAACATGTAGATGTCATACATAGTATTGAAGTAGAACTACTATAACATGTAGATGACATATACAGTATTGAAGTAGAACTACCCTAACATGTAGATGTCATATACAGTATTGAAGTAGAACTAACCTAACATGTAGATGTCATATATAGTATTCAAGTAGAACTAACCTAATATGTAGATGTCATATATAATATAGAAGTAGAACTACCCTAACATGTAGATGTCATACATAGTATTGAAGTACAACTACCCTAACCTGTAGATGTCATATATAGTACTGAAGTAGAACTACCCTAACCTGTAGATGACATATACAGTATTGAAGTAGAACTAACCTAACATGTAGATGTCATATATAGTATTGAAGTAGAACTACCCTAACATGTAGATGTCATATATAGTATTGAAGTATAACTAACCTAACATGCATGTAGATGTCATATATAGTATTGAAGTAGAACTACCCTAACATGTAGATGTCATATATAGTATAGAAGTAGAACTAACCTAACATGTAGATGTCATACATACCGTAGTATTGAAGTAGAACTACCCTAACATGTAGATGTCATACATAGTATTGAAGTAGAACTAACCTAACATGTAGATGTCATATATAGTATAGAAGTAGAACTACCCTAACATGTAGATGTCATACATAGTATTGAAGTAGAACTAACCTAACATGCATGTAGATGTCATATATAGTATTGAAGTAGAACTACCCTAACATATAGATGTCATACACAGTATTGAAGTAGAACTACCCTAACATGTAGATGTCATACATAGTATTGAAGTAGAACTACCCTAACATGTAGATGTCATATCCAGTATTGAAGTAGAACTAACTTAACATGTAGATGTCATACATAGTATTGAAGTAGAACTACCCTAACATGTAGATGTCATATCCAGTATTGAAGTAGAACTACCCTAACATGTAGATGTCATACATAGTATTGAAGTAGAACTAACCTAACATGTAGATGTCATACACAGTATTGAAGTAGAACTACCCTAACATGTAGATGTCATATACAGTATTGAAGTAGAACTACCCTAACATGTAGATGTCATATATAGTATTGAAGTAGAACTAACCTAACATGCATGTAGATGTCATATATAGTATTGAAGTAGAACTACCCTAACATATAGATGTCATACACAGTATTGAAGTAGAACTACCCTAACATGTAGATTTCATACATAGTATTGAAGTAGAACTACCCTAACATGTAGATGTCATATCCAGTATTGAAGTAGAACTAACCTAACATGTAGATGTCATACATAGTATTGAAGTAGAACTACCCTAACATGTATATGACTTATACAGTATTGAAGTAGAACTTCCCTAACATGAATATACCATACATAGTTTTGAAGTAGAACAACCCGAACATGTAGATGTCATATATAGTATTGAAGTAGAACTATCCTAACATGTAGATGTCATATACAGTATTTAAGTAGAACTACCCTAACATGTAGATGTCATATATAGTATTGAAGTAGAACTAACCTAACATGCATGTAGATGTCATATATAGTATTGAAGTAGAACTACCCTAACATATAGATGTCATACACAGTATTGAAGTAGAACTACCCTAACATGTAGATGTCATACATAGTATTGAAGTAGAACTACCCTAACATGTAGATGTCATATCCAGTATTGAAGTAGAACTAACTTAACATGTAGATGTCATACATAGTATTGAAGTAGAACTACCCTAACATGTAGATGTCATATCCAGTATTGAAGTAGAACTAACCTAACATGTAGATGTCATACATACATGTAGTATTGAATAATTGAAGGAGAACTACCCTAACATGTAGATGACATATACAGTATTAAAGTAGAACTAACCTTACATGTAGATGTCATATATAGTATTGAACTTAGAAGTAAAACGACCCTTAGATGTAGATAACATATATATATTATTGAAGTAGAACTACCCTTAGTTAACATGTAGATGCATATAAGCAGAATATATGTTGTAATTCACCAAAACAGTGTATACAACATAAGTAATTTATAAGTAATTCACTTGGGAGGTTTGAAATGGTTTTAATTTTAACTTTGTTTTTGTTTCTTACAGAGATAAACCTAATTATTATATAAGGATGAATATGGTCGAGAATTTAGTCACAATCAATGGTACCCTTCACAGACATGTTGGAATAGAGGCTGGTAATAAACTGCATGAATTGGATGTTTGTGCTAGGACAAATAAACGTGTTATAGACTTAAAGAGACACACAAGAACCCAAACTGCTAAAAAAGGACACAAATGTAATATGTGTGAGAGAGAATTTTCTACAAGTAGTAACTTAAAGGTACACATGAGAACACATACAGGAGAAAAACCTCATGAATGTGATGTTTGTGGTAAACGTTTTAGTCTGCTTTGTAATTTACAGACTCATACGAGAACACATACAGGTGATAAACCTTATGGCTGTGATGTATGTGGAAATCGATTTAGTCAGCTTGATAGATTGCATAGCCACATGAGAACACATACAGGTGATAAACCTTATGACTGTGGTGTATGTAGTAAAGGGTTTAGACAGCATAGTGGTTTAAAGACTCACATGAGAATACATACAGGTGATAAACCTTATGACTGTTGTGAATGTGGTAAGGGGTTTAGTCAGTTTGCTGGTTTACAATTACACATGAGAATACATTCAGGCGATAAACCACATAACTGTGATGTATGTGGTAAGGGGTTTCGTCATCGTGGTAATTTACAGAGACACATGAGAATACATACAGGTGAAAAACCCTATAACTGTGATCTGTGCGGTAAACGGTTTAGTCAACAAGACTGTTTACAGATTCACATGAGAGCACATACGGGTGATAAACCCCTTAACTGTAATGTATGTGGTAAACGGTTTAGTCAGCATGGTCATTTACGGAATCACACGAGAACACATACAGGTGATAAACCCCATACCTGTGATGTATGTGGTAAAGCATTTATTCGAAGTTATAACTTAAAGAGACACATTAAAATACATAGAGGGGAACAAACTCCTAAATTGGATTTATGATCCTGATATTTATGTTGAATAAATTTCTGAAAGATTCTGTGTAAATTATGTAAGAATGTTTACACATACTGGACATATAAACATTATTATCTTACCTCCTATAGATGTATGGGGATATGATTGGTTAAAGGACTACACATGGTGACTATATATATGTAAGAATGTTTACACATACTGGACATATAACATTATTATAGGCATGAAAGGGGAGTTGAATATAATCAGAGAAATATAATACAATATAATAGATGTCTCTGATGTGATATAGGGTACATTCGTTATTTTTAGCTCAACTGGCTGGAATGTGAGACTATGGTACTGCTTGTCGTCTGTCGTCGTCTGTTAGATCACCTCTTCTATGGAATATCTAGTGTAAAATATGTCTGACTGCCGACAAACATGACTGACATTGCTTAAAATAGGACACAAAGGTAAAATGCAGTTTTTGTCTTTTATCTTGAAAATTGCTAAAGGTACAATGTAGTCGCAAAATTGTTCAATATAATGAAATCTACACAATGTTAATAGATATCAAAACTGTGAGACGACACCAGGTGACCTTATAGGAGCACTGACTGTTTTTGCCCTTCAACGACGAATTTTAACAATTTGTTTCTTTTTCAACTCTTATCTCGAATATGAAAATTAAAAAAAAAACAGAAAATTTACTAGGAAAAACGATCAGCAAGACAAAATTTTAAATCGTCAATCTGCATCTTATTGGAGTTATTGCCCTTTAGAGAACGACCATTAAACTTCAAGTAGGGTCGTAACCGGTGTATTTTCATGCTGAATAATGGTTAAAATTCTTGCCAATTTGGTAATTTTTGGTGCATGACGATAAAATGTTCACTTTCCTTTAGACAATAAAAATATCGATTGATTTTGACAAGTCACGATACTTTTTTCCAAAAATAACGGTAATTACTTGAGACCTCTGACGAATCACAATACAGTTATTTTGACGAATCACGCTAAAATTTTAACCAATTTGTCGCTAAAAGTAGCCGAAAATTACCGTTTGACCCCGACGTTAAAGGGCAATCCTACCCTCTGCAAGGGGAGTTATGTTGTTTTTTCAAACAATATATTCTGTTCCCCATTTGATGAACAAAAAATGTTCTGGTCAAGGAGATGAAAAAAAAAATATTCTGAATCCCGATTTTCCCCATATATACATTAAAATGTTAAATTTTGAAAAAAATAATTTGATTGATAGCGTCCAAACACTAAATAAAAAAATGTCTGACTCAGAAAAAAAAAACATAGTCCCCCCTTTTTTTGAAGTTAAATGGTTGCTCCCTTAAAGCCTATAGTTTCCAACGTTTTGCTTGCATTTACCAATATTATGATGAAAACTGAAATAGTTATCATGAATATAGACACTTTGAAAGGGTGAGAGTTCACCAGGATAAATAAAGAATCTGCAAATGTCAAAAATATCAACATTGCTGAAATAGATGATGATTTTTATTTAAAAAGAATAAGTGGCAATTGTCATAATTTTGGAAGTAGTACAGGCTCTAAAGGGTCTCTAGTTGTGCTAAATAAAATATTGAAAGGAAGGACTTACCATACCGAGAGGTTTAAGTCATGAGATACAGGGGCGGATCCATGGCCAGCCATATTTAAAAAAGTGGGGAGGGGTCCCAACCCAGAATAATAAGGGGGGTTCCAACCATATGTCCCGAGGTGATTGTATGCTATTTGGGAAAGGGTTTCAAATTGGCAATGCACAGAGGTATATGTCAACACGTTAATGTTATATTAAAAAAATCTACTAATTAAATGTTATTTCTTTGATTAATTGGATCTTTTCCAGCCCATGTTGTTATACATTTTATCAATAATAAAATCTTGTATTCAAATTACAAAATGATGTTGATGTGTTTAATCATGATACTTGACGAGATACCTTTAGTTATGTTGATGTGTTTAATCGTGATACTTGACAAGATACCTATCGGGTGTTGGTGTGTTTAATCACGATACTTGACAAGATACGTTAAGTTGTGATGATGTGTTTAATCATTATACTTGACAAGACACCTTTAGTTGTGTTGGTGTGTTACATCATTATACTTGACATGATACCTTAAGTTATGATGATGTGTTTAATCATTATACTTGACAAGACACCTTAAGTTGTGTTGATGTGTTTAATCATGGTACTTGACATGATACCTTAAGTTATGATGATGTGTTTAATCATTATACTTGACAAGACACCTTAAGTTGTGTTGATGTGTTTAATCATGGTACTTGACAAGATACCTTAAGTTGTGATGATGTGTTTAGACAGAATTTACAACCACATACAGGAGGGTATGGATAGGGTTTAAATGATAGAGAATAATACGCAAACAATATCATGAGAAGAATGGACGAAAGTTAAGAGAATAACAGGCCAAAATATGGAGAATAATGAGGGGATAACATATAAATAACAGATAAAATGGTTTAGAAAACAAAATAAACAGAATCCTGATCCTAAGGTCAATATTTAGTTTTACACAACTGGTCTCTTTGTGCTTTCTTGTTTATACTGGGTTGTGTCACAGTGTATACTTAAGGTTACATTGCTATGGCGCAGGTTTGGAATTCTTTAAGGCTAAGCTTTATCGCGGAGTGGCCCTGAACTATTTGAATATTCTCATATCATATTCTCGGTTCTCTCGTATGTCTCTTTCATTGCTGGTGCTAGTAGGGTCTTGTCATCAATGATTCTCATCAATTGGAATGTTATGCATCTCCAGCTGTGTTTTCATTGCTTCTGGTCCCTGGTGGTATCTTGTACATTAAAGTAGAAAGTGTTCTGTGCTTTATCCTTCACCACATTGGCAGTATGGCGTGAGGGATTGGCCAATATGATTGCGGTATTTATTTAGTCTTTTGGAATTTATAGCCTGTACTAAATTCCGACATGATTCTCTCTATAACTGGGTTCGAATAATCAAGTGGATTGGTCTTACCTACAATAGGAACTAATGCATGGAGTTGTCTCCAAGTTTCGCTTCTAGTCCATCTATTTTGCCATTTAAGTTTTGTTGACATCTTGACTGCACTTTTCACATCTGACATTGTTATGACGTTGTAACGGTCATTTAGACTAGATGCCTCCTGTGCTGCATCATTTGCTTACTGATCCGCTATCTCGTTCCCGTCTATATTAGCATGACCTGGGATCCAAGATATGGTATAATATATAAAAAAGAAGATGTGTTATGATTGCCGATGAGACAACTCTCCACAAGAGACCAATGGAATATGAAAACAGCTCTCTCCCAAGCAAAAAACCCTAACTAAAAATATAAGGGCATACACTACAGGCACGGGGACACATTCTACTGCATCCACACAGCACGAGTAACAAACCCTACAGTGAATATAAAAAAGAAGATATAGTATGATTGCCAATGAGATAACTCTCCACAAGAGACCAATGGAATAGGTAGACAGCTCTATCTCACAAGTTTGTATGCCCGCCTCTCAGGAGGTTCCTCAGCAAAGCTTTCTTTAATGCCTGTGATAGTGTCGATGTAGTTAGTTGACTTCCAGTTGAGAGTCAAGATGCGAACCGCTGTCTGGCCCATGCTATCTGATAGTACGGTATCTTTACTTCAGTAAACTGTTCTCTAAGTGTGTAAATGCAATGTTTCAAAACCATAAGGATAGCTTCTAGTTCCGCTAAGAGTATAGAGCCTCTGCTTAGTAGCAATTGATCTTTTTAGGCTTGTTCTTTCAGTTGGTGGTTCATAGTAAATATTGAATAACATTTAACGCATTGTTTGCTCTCTTTTGTACTGTATTCGTATTATATACATGTATGTCTCTGTTATAACTAAGTTCCTTTTGAAACTTTTGTAATGCGTCACAAATGAAATATTAACGTTGACACCATGATCCAAACATATGTTTATAAATGCAAAAAATGAGTCTTGAATTGTTGCAAAACATAATATTAATCATGGGTGCCGAATTAAACACGACGAGCTGCTCGGTATGTCTGCAATAAATACCATAATTATATATACGAGTAGTGTTACAAACATGCTTACTACATTAAATTTACCATAACTAGCAGAACGTAGGCTACGCACAAGATTGGTAATGATGTACAAAATATTATACCATCTTGTTGCTATTCCATCAGTCATACTCATAAAAGCAGACTCAAGAACAAGACAAAACCATCCACTCTCATATACTAGGCATATTCATACTTTCCGTACACAATACGACAGTGGAACCAGCTCCCTGTGGTACTAGTGTTATGCGGGAAAGAGGGGGAAAGCGCAGACTAAGCAGTTGCCTCCCCTCTCCCGCTGAAGGTTAAAATTTTGTTGGTTTGCTGTTTTACATATCTGTGTTCACTACTTCAACTACGACAATTAGGGGGACTGTCGTTCGCGTTCTTTCGAGGCCTCCTGGTGATTAAAACAAAGATGTCAGTATATGTTTATTTCGAGTCCAACCATAAGAGTAAATTGATCAAATACATTAATATGAAATAAAAGAGTTTGCTTCTTAAATGAACTTGAATTAACAATTATCTAAATACTTTATTAATTGATTAAATTGTTTATCATGATATCAATGGTAAATTTAATAAGGAAAGATTTCTGTTATAAAATTGTTACATTAAAACATTGCTAAGGTTACGTTTAATTTTTTACTTTACAAAAATTATAAGTTTACGAACCTGGTGAATAAAACCAAGATGTCTATATATGTTTATTTCGAGTCCAACCATAAGGGTAATGTTTGATTCCTTAGGGTTTCCTATTTTAAACCCTAAGAACACGTGCTGGTTGGACATGTTTTATTTACCAATCAAAATGACTTTTAGAATACTTATTTGTTATAAGAACAGTTTCTATTGGTTAGATCTGTTTTAGTTAATTCACATTTTTACATAATTTGGGGTTACTATTTTTAATTACTTATTACCTTGTTTTTACGACCATTAGGAAAATCCGATTATTTGGTTGGATCATGGAAGTATTATATTGACTATAATACTTCCATGGTTGGATA